AATAATGGGGGCGGGGAGCAGGGCGGGTAGTGGTAACCTACCTCATAGAGTCATTGCGAAGGTTGCGTGAGACGGTGTGTATAAAACACACAACCACGTGAGAAGCAGTGAATATAATGCCTAGTACATACTAAGTGCTAAAAAAATGCAAGACATTATTGTGTTGACTACACGATACTTATCACAAATGTAGAACTCTAAGTTCCTTAAAGAATGATCTGTGTCTGTCTTGTTCACTGCTATATCCTCAGCATTTAACAGTGATTCACGCGTAACGAGTAGGTTACCTCATAAATAATTGTTTAATGTGTTTCTGTCATTGGTATGCATCAAAAAGAGTAGTAGGAAATACACCCAAATGCCAGTCTTTATTCTTGGTAATGGAATTCTGAATGGTTTCATTTTCTTCTTTTTGCTGTATCACTAAAATAAATATATATTACTATTAAGAAGGAAGGGGGAAGTGGTAAAAAAAAATGTGTATATATATATATATATATATTGTAAAACGAAATCAGTCCAGCCACCCCTTTGCAGGTGTTAGTCTCCACTTCTCCAGCAGATGTCAGAATTCCCATTCTCCTCATTCAGAACAGCTCTGATAACGCCCTGCTACGTCCTTCCATCTGGTTGGACTGGTCGGAGGCAGAGGACAGAGAAGGGGATTGCATTTTCTGCTCACAAATATTAAGAAATAACACTCTAACCAAAGTTTCCTCAGCTGAGGTTTGTCAGACCTGGGTTTTCTGATTCTCCCCGTGTCGGTTACCTAATTCCTTGACTTAGAACCTCCAAACTAGGTGTTGCTTGAGAGGCTGTTCACAAATAAGGAGAGCGGGTCACCCAGCACTGATGCCCAGCCAGCCCATGGGTAACACACTCGCCCGCGTCTCTGCAAGCACAGCGCCTCCACGTGGACTTCTGCGTCTCCAGGCTCTCACTGAGCAGATGGCCCATGTGGTCTGCTTGCAATAATTCCTGAGTTCCCTCCTTCCTCTGATCCACTTATTCTACTATCCTGAGCAGTTACTTATCACTTTACGTTCCTCTATTAAACTGGAAGGCAAAAGCTTTTCGTGGCTGAAGTAGAGAGATGGACATATATCTTTAAAAAAATTTTAATACCTGAATAGACACCTGCTATTTAAAAACACACACACACACACACACACTTAATTATATAAATAGAAAGTGGTCTCCTTTACTCACCTCCCACCCCTCCTGGAAGCCACGATCCTCTTCAGAAATAACAATGGTTAGCAGTCTAGTCTGTATCTTTCTGCCTCAGATCATTTTCTGCTTGTTTGCCTTGTTCTGATAACTACACCTGAGTCTGATCTTGTTGAATTGTGTTTATGTTTCTACTAGATTTCTGTTAAAATACCATCATTTGAGGACACTGTGTTATTAAATATATTGACAACAGGTCTCTCTCTCCATCTCCTTCCTTCTTTCTCTTTCAATCTCCTACTGATCTTCGTGTGTGTGTGTGTGTGTGTGTGTGTGTCAGCCTTTCTCTATCTTCTCTCTCCATCATTTTAATCATTTTATGATTGCTGTGTTAAAGTCCTATGCCTTAATAAGCTCGTCAGTCTCCAAGTTCTGGGGAGTTGAAGAAGAATTAACAAGTACTAAATAAGTGAAAGGGAATGTCCAATGAAAACTTGCTCCTTTTCATTCCATCAAAGGGGCCCTTCCTCTCCTGGCCCCAACCCACCTCCCCAGCATCACCCCCTGCCACCCCAGTCCTCTTCACATTCTATCTACCTTGAAATCTCATTATTTCTCAATTGCACCACCTTTAGATTTTTTTCGTCTTGGCATTGTTCATGTTTCTAACTACAAGGCCTCCCTGCTCTTCCCTAATTATTCATCGTCCTCCAACNAACTGGAAGGCAAAAGCTTTTCGTGGCTGAAGTAGAGAGATGGACATATATCTTTAAAAAATTTTTAATACCTGAATAGACACCTGCTTTAAAAAAAAAAAAAAAGAAAGAAACCACACTTAAGTATATAAATAGAAAGTGGTCTCCTTTACTCACCTCCCACCCCTCCTGGAAGCCACGATCCTCTTCAGAAATAACAATGGTTAGCAGTCTAGTCTGTATCTTTCTGCCTCAGATCATTTTCTGCTTGTTTGCCTTGTTCTGATAACTACACCTGAGTCTGATCTTGTTGAATTGTGTTTATGTTTCTACTAGATTTCTGTAAAAATACCATCATTTGAGGACACCGTGTTATTAAATATATTGACAACAGGTCTCTCTCTCTCTCCAGCTCCTTCTTTCTCTTTCAATCTCCTACTGATCTTCGTGTGTGTGTGTGTGTGTGTGTGTGTGTCAGCCTTTCTCTATCTTCTCTCTCCATCATTTTAATCATTTTATGATTGTTGTGTTAAAATCCTATGCCTCAATAAGCTTGTCAGTCTCCAAGTTCTGGAGAGTTGAAGAAGAATTTACAAGTATTAAATAAGTGAAAGGGAATGTCCAATGAAAACATGCTCCTTTTCATTCCATCAAAGGGGCCCTTCCTCTCCTGGCCCCAACCCACCTCCCCAGCATCATCCCCTGTCACCCCAGTCCTCTTCACATCTATCTACCTTGAAATCTCATTATTTCTCAATTGCACCACCTTTAGATTTTTTTCGTCTTGGCACTGTTCATGTTTCTAACTACAAGGCCTCCCTGCTCTTCCCTAATTATTCATCGTCCTCCAACTTCAGCTCGAATGTTACTTCCTTTGTAATCAAGAGGAAAATCACTCAGGATGGAAGAGAGTTGAGTAAGTTTACAGTGACTCATATCCAGACTATATAAAGAACTCCTACAAATCACTTCCTCTAAAAGAGGATACACAAATGACCATTAAGTACATAAAAAGCTACCCAGCCTTGTTAGTATTCAAGGAAAATCAAATTAAAGCACAATGAGATACCACTACATCCTCACCAGGATGGCTAAATTTAGACAGACTGACAGCACCAGGGATGAATGAAGATGGGAAGCAGTGGGAGCCTGCTGGGAGCATAAACTGGCACCACTCAGCTGAACTAAGCCTACACTCCGACCCGGTAATTCCATGCCTAAGTTTATACCTGTGGTAGATGGCAGAATGTGGCCACAAAGTCCCCCGTACACGAGGAGTTGGCCTTGTGACTTGCTTTGACCAATAAAATGTGGCAAAAGTAACTTTGTGTGACTTGAGGCAAAGCATCAATAGACCTTGCAGCTTCCAAGTTTGCCAGCCCCCAGATGACTGCAAATACAAGGGTGAGCCCCGGTGAGGCCGGCAGAAGAAACATCTAAAGCCTGGCCAAATTGCAGAAATATGAGCAAATAAGTCACTGTTTTAAGCCACTCATTTGGGAATGGTTTGTTCACATCAATCAATTACTAATAAATACATGTAACATAAGACATCAGCAGCACTATTCACAAAAGATAAAAACTAAGAATAACCCACCAAGAAGAAAATAGAAAAATAAATTGCAGTATATTCATTTCCTGGAATACTATGTACCATTTTTGTATTTGCACTCTGTCTGTCTTACACGTGCATGTACGCACTCGCACGCGTGCACACACACACACACAAAACACCAAAAGACTGGATTCTGCATCCCCTGTGCACCTCAATACTTTGCAACTTTCTCTACTGGAGTATTGATCTGAGTCAGCCTCCTGCACAGAACTGTGAGTTCCTTGAGGGAAGAATACTGTTGTGTTTCTCCGATGTCAGCTCTGTGACCNGCACCTCTAGTCTGCCTCAAACTCAAGGCATAGAGAAAGAAAGGAAGGGATAGAAAAAAGATGGTATATCTGGGAGACTGCTTTTCTCTCTTCACTTGGAATCAGTGACGGCTTCCTCCCCTATGCTCAGGCCTTGTCCCAATCAACTCTCCCCCAGCACCGA